CAAATTGCAAAGCTAAAGAGGTTAGTCTGATGGAAAGTGGTGGGCATGAGAGCAGGAGTCCTAACTAAGGGAACACCACAGAGGCTACGCATGTTTGAGGTTCTAAAGGGAGGTTAGCACATGTGGAGAATGGGGAGTCAGGGATGAGTGACAGAGAATGAGATTGGAGAGGTAGTCAGGGACTTGATCACGTAAGATCTAATAGGTGATGCTAAAGAGTTTGAATTTTATTCCAAGTGCAATTGACATCTTTTGAAGCATTTTTCCAGAGGGATGCTAATATGATCTAATTTACATTGTTAAAATGACCAGTTTTCTGATTAGCATTTGATGACTACTAAGGTCAACACACAGAGTACATACATGACAACAAGAACCACAAAAGCTTTAACTCATATTACCTTGGTGCAGGATATTGTACAACTTGCTCAAGTATGGAAGCCCAGCAACAACAGGTGAAACCTCAAAGTGCAGTGTTCATAGAGGAAGCTCCAAACCTCACCACTTCCCCTGTTCATTCCTTGGTTTCCAGCCTTGTACCCAGGACACTTAGTTACTTCCCTTCTCTTGTTCTGCACATTGTCTCCTTACCCACGAACTTAACTTTGTATTGGTCTGGCTTTTGACCTCATTTCTCCCATCTTCTTTTATTTCATGACTCTAGTGAGGCTGACAGTCCTTAGGATGTAGTAGAGCTGATTTTAATGTGTTTGAAGGTATAAAGGATAGATAAATAATATAAATAGGAACTTGGAGTTTGCTATAAACAAAGAATACCAATCATTGTATTGCCCAGTGATGAGAAAATTAAATTTGAAACTATAATTTATTCTATTTTGATTGCTACCTCCAATTAATTAGATACTTTAAGTAGTTTTTCTAGTTTTTTCTTTTTGTCAAATCTTCATGATCCTCTTTCAATTGAAATTACTGATGCTCTATAACTAGTTGTACAACAATTTAAAATAAAATATGAGACACTCTAATATGCCTTCACATTGGATACACTATCTTTTTAAAGAGTACCTTTGAGGCTTGATTTCTCCTTTGAGATTTTCATTTGACTTATGACCTCTTTGTTCAACTTCTTTTCCTGGAATGAAAGAGCTGTCAAGCAATTGTGCCATTAAGTGTCAAGCAACAAGGCCAAAAGAGTCTCCTGCTGTCTTAGAACGCTTCAAATTGATAAATATTCACTTTTCTGTTCTCCTGAGGTCATTTATAATGCTGTGTGTTTGTGATCTCCCTGCTGGTATTCATTTGACCTTGAGATAACACACATTAGAACACATCTGACGCATCTGAATTAGGTGCGTGTGGGTTTTTTTTTTTCACTTTTAAGCAAGCTAAAGGTATTGTAGGGTACTGTTTCTTAAATGATTTCTATGGTAAGTTGACAATATTATGTCAAAAACTAGTATTTTTATAAAGGTCAGAATTAATGCCTATATAGGTACTAAGCAGATAAAACTTAGAAAACTAAATAAGTGCAGTTTATTATTTACTCACACACATCCATTTTTGGCTCTCTCAGCATTACCTGTTGCCTCCTTTCCCATGGAAAAACCTATACTGCATCTTTTGTCTTACCGTGCTCTCTGTTATCTGTCACCACTGGGAATGGTTTGGGTCAACAAATCTCCTGAGGTTTTACTGATATTGACTCAAAGCATAATAATCCAGGAACATTAATATTTTACTAAGGGGGTTGTAAAGACCTAGAAAGAACATGTATTAAATTGTGGCCTTTCAGATGGGGATTTATACTGGAGCTGATCTGGGTCTGAATAAGTCTGCCTTCCTAGTGCCCTTCCAGTCCAGCCAGCTAAGTCTACCCTACCATTTCAGCCCTGGGGAAGAAATCAAAGCAGATTGTTTCTTTTTTATAACACTATCATTATCTAAAAAGGAGAAAATGTGAGCTCTGGAATCAGATAGGTTCATTGCCAAGTTCTAAATAGTTGGCTTAGTCTTCAAAATGTGTGTATGTGTGTGTGCTTCATAGGCTTTATTTAAAATCATTATTTAATTACCGTACTGACACATAATATTCTTATAATTCCTTCAGGTTAGTTAGTCTTTGTGGAATCCTCAGATCTAAAATAGGAATAAGAATCTTATTCTTAATTTAACTGGAATTGATTTAAGTGGAATATAATAGCAACACATGCAGTGCCTGACACATCATAGGTGGTCAGTTAATATTCAATCCCTTAATTGAAGAAAAGGCAACTTAAATTATGCACCATCTCTTTGAAACTAGCATGAACAAAGTGTTACTTTTATAAATAACATGCATAAATATGATCAAATTACAGGGACTAAACATTTGGTAGATTGCGTGGCATTGTTAAATACATTTACTGATTTTCTTACTTCACGCAATGCTCACACACACAAAAAGAAATTAACTTTGAAATATCAGAAATATATTGTGTATATTACAAAAACTTCAAAACTGTAGTAGTAGGAAAATAAATCTTCAAAATTCAACCTAAAGTTGGTATATAAAAATGTTCTATAGCTCCAAACCAATTTTTATGTGAAAGTTGCTTATGTTATTTTATATTAAAATTTTCCATAGCTATAAACCAATTTTTATGTTAAAGTTGCTTTGGACTTTTACAAAACCATACCTTGAGTTAGATAAAGAAAAAATATTTCATGACAAAGGGCTTTCAGAGAAAAACACCCTGCTTCTAGGCATCCATGACTAAGGCCTGATGCGTGCAGCAAATTGTCAGAAAATTCTCAGGTATTTGTTCCCTCTCCCCACTTTAGGAAAGAGATCTACCATTTAATGCACTGTTCCACAACTTCTTTGTCAATGGCTTTCCCTTATCAACTCAAACACTTCCAAGTTAAATTTTCTCTCACCTAGAGAAAAGGAAAGCTTCTGATAATTAGAAATTTCTGCCCTGGCTGGCATAGCTCAGTGGATTGAGCGCAGGCTAGGAACCAAAGTGTCCCAGGTTCGATTCCCAGCCAGGGTACATTCCTGGGTTGCAGGCCATAACCCCCCAGCAACCGCACATTGATGTTTCTCTCTCTCTCTCTCTCTCTCTCTCTCTCTCTCTCTCCCTCCCTTCCCTCTCAAATAAATAAATAAATAAATAAATAAATAAATAAATAAATAAATAAAAGAAATTTCTTGCTTACTGTGGTCAGCATGGCTAGGCCTCCTTTGAGTCTAGTGACACTTTGAAAATGGGACATAAAGGTAGGTAACGGGCACAGCAAGGAACTGTCTCCCCCAGACTGATGTTTTAAAGTACAGCAGAACCATCCTCTGACCTGGTGGATTCTTCAATCCATATTGGTTGCAATGACCATGAAACTTAGGGTGTAACTCCATGAAGAAATAAAGAGACATTAAAGAGAATTTTCCAGCCTTATCATTATTCTGAACATGTTATTTCCACTGCTTTTTGCTGGCTTAGTAGTAAACTGGAGTGCAATCAGTCTGGAACTATTTCTAAACCTGCCATTCTCCAAAGCAATTAAGAATTCTGGTAAATGTTGAGACTTGAATGTGTTTTCAACCTTTTGTAAGTGTTAGGTAAAAATCATAAAAGTCAATGAGTGCAATAAAATATTTTTGAGTCAGTTGTTAAAACCACTTGAGTGTTGGAGAGTGATGGTGTTGGGCCAGTACATATACCAAACTACTGATATCTTCCATGAGTCACACGATGGAAAGAAGAAGATATTTTTGTTGTTGATGATGTTGTTGATGTTGTTGTTGATTTCTGTATTACCAGAAACTAGAATAGTGTATCTAGCATCCAATAATAGCTCAATCAATATTTGCTGGGTGACTGACTGAATGAATGAATACTAAAAGCAGGGCATATACAGTACTCCAAAACAGGACATACACGTGAAGGTGTAGAAGATTCCAGTCTTGGAAGCAGTGGTAGAACGGGGAGTACCATGCGAGGTTATAGAAGAAGAGAAAAGGCAGGGCTCTAATGGAAGGATGGAAAATTTGTCTGCAGAGGGAAATCATATGTCATAAGTGAGGACAAAGTGCACTCATCTAACAAAGATAAAGGAAAGGGTGTCCACATAGAACATAGTAGAAAGGCCTAGTGGAAAAAAAAAGGCTGTATTATTTACAAATGTGAATATGGAAAGAGACCATAGAGTCATTTTTTTGTACTTGGAGAAAAATTTTGTAATAACTGAGAAAAAGATACCAGTAGTTAAAAGTTGTAGAAAACTGCAACTAGGGACAAGGCAGGAGAGAAGGAAGGAAAGTGTAAGAACTGAGCAGGCCAAAGCATTCCATGAGCCATGCTCATGTTGGGGCTGCTAGGGGTGGCAAATTGACAGACTTACAGCAGACAGTGTAAAGAGTGACTGGGGCCAAATGGAAAAATAGAAAACATTTGCCCATTCTAAAGACAGCAGTCAATACAGTTTCTATGATTGCTTGCCATGCAGACATATTAACTCAGAGAGAAGCCAACAATCTTCATTTGAATGTAAAGTCTTCTAATTTGTATATATTGGGAACTGATTCAACTTCTATACAAATAGTTTATGGTGCAGAGCAACATGGATCTACAGAACATAGCATTAAGAAAAAAAAAAGGAATGAGATTCATGGCATAATATCATTTATATAAATTACAAATACATTCACATAAAAACACAATATATTCTTAAGGTTTCATGTACATCAAATGATATGAATCAAATATGTTAGAGTCTTGCCTTGGTTATGGGCATCAAGATGATAAGAAATGAAAGGGAAATACCAAATATTTTTTAAAATCAAGAAGAGTTGTACATGGGTGTATAATAATAACATGCTATGGATTGTAGGGTATGATTATCCAACTTTCTATACATAAGATTAAAAAATAAATTAGTAAGTATAATTCAAATAAAATATGCAATAAATGTCCAAATGAATGAAGAAAAACATGTTAGTAGTTGAATTTGGTCTGTAAGACACTGATTTGAAAATCTTAATTTTTACTCTGTCCTTGTAGGAGCTCACCCCCAGTGTGGTCAGAAAATTGGAGAATTTTGAAGAAAACAGGATGGTCAATGAGCTCAGAGGCCATGGCTCATGAGAACTAAGTCTGCTGCTGCTGCTGCTGTGTCATCTGCTGACGCTCTTTCACATGATTTTATGCAAGGGATGGACAAGGGAATGAGGAGCAAAAGGCACAGAAAATATATCAGAAATAACAGACCAAAATGCCTCTACTGACTCTCATCTAGTAATATGGACTTCACAGTATCCAATTTTAATTTTTTTACGTCCTCCAATTTTGCCTCTTTTTAAAAACAATTATTGTAAACTCTCCCTGTATGTATTTTGTAATCACAGGTGATAGTGTCTGCACCAACATTTATTGCCTTCTACCAGCATCTTCCATATGAGACTATGCCCATTAACATGACACTTGACTTCTCCACATCCTTTTATTTACTCCTCCCAGGGGTTAAGTAGTACTATATCTTTGGGAGGGGTGGTAGGGCATGAAACAGCTCACTCTTCTTTCCCCCTTCCTTTTTAAAGGGAAAGGCCACACAGAGTTCCAGTACCATCTACAGTTTGGTTGTTATGTTTGAGTAATTCTGAAGAGCTGTGTACACAAAATTGACTTCTCTGACAGTAATAAGTCTAAAATGGCACTGTCCCAAAATTATTATTGGCAGCAATAAAGCAATTTTGTTATTCATCTTCTTTATTCTTTAACTCAATAAATTCAGATCACAAGCAGAGAACAGGGGTGTTTTCTTTGAGCTTAAGGGTCTTAAGATATTATTATATCTTATCAACTCACAGCAATCAAAATTTACTTAAGAAGGAAATTAATAAGACAGAATTTAAGTCTTATTTCATGATAGAAAACTTTTAAGAAAATATATAGAGTAAATTTTTAAAGAAATTTCACATGGAATATTTTAGTTTAGTTTTTATTGTATTTTTTCCTATTACCATTTAGTCCCCTATGCTCTCTACCCCCCAACAATCACCACACTGTTGTCCATGTCCATGACAACAATGCCTCCACCACCTCCCCACCCAACACTTGATGTCATCCTGCTCTTCAAGTCTGTCCCCATTTTCCTTGTTAGTTCACTTTGTTCATTAGATTGCACATATGAGTGAAACCATATGGTATTTGTTTTTCTCTGACTGGCTTATTTCACTTAGCATAATGTTCTCCAGGTCCATCCATACTGTGGCAAAGGGTAAAAATTTTATTCTTTTTTTATGGCTGAGTAGTATTCCATTGTGTAAACATCACTAGTTGTTTTATCCACTCATCTATTTTTTTAATTTTTTAAAATTTTATTTTAATTGCTGTTGCAGTACAATTTTCTATCTTTTACTCCCATCCCAGCCCACCCACCCATCCCTCCTCTCCTCCCTCCCATTTCCACCCGCCCCTAGTTTTTATCCATGTGTCCTTTATACTAGTTCCTGTAAACCCTTTCCCTTGAAATTCCCCTGAAATTCCCCTGAAATTCCCTCTCCTCTCCCCTCTGAACTCTGTCAGTCTGTTCTCTATTTCAGTGTCTTTGGTTATATTTTGCTTGTTTCTTTGTTTTGTTGTTTAGGTTCCTGTTAAAAAAGGAACTGTTTAAGGTGAGACCATATGGTACTTGTCTTTCATTGCCTGGCTTATTTAGCTTAGCATAATACTTTCCAGTTGCATTCATGCTGTTGCAAAGGGTAGGAGCTCCTTTCTTTCTGCTGCATAGAATTCCATTGTGTAAACATACAGAGGATCCAGAAACACATGAAAAGATTCTCAATATCGCTAGCTATCAGAAAGATGCAAATTAAAACCACAATGAGATACCACTTTACACCAGTCAGAATGGCCATCATAAACAAAGCAATAAACAGCAAGTGTTGGAGAGGTTGTGGTGAAAAGGGAACCCTAGTACACTGTTGGTGGGATTGCAGACTGGTACAACCACTATGGAAAACAGTATGGAATTTTCTCAGAAAACTAAAAATAGATATGCCTTTTGACCCAGCAATTCCACTGCTAAGATTATATCCTAAGAACCCTGAAACACCAATCCTAAAGAACCTATGTACCCCAATGTTCATAGCAGCACAATTTACAATAGCCAAGTGTTGGAAGCAACCTAGATGCCCATCAGTAAATGAATGGATCAAAAAACTATCCACTCATCTATTGATAGACACTTGGGCTGCTGCCATATATTTTTTAGTGTAAATAAGGCTGCAGTGAACATAGGGGTGTTGTTGTTCTTTTGAATTAGTGTTTTGGGTTCCTTTGGGTATATTCCCAGAAGTGGGATCACTGGGTCAAAAGACAGATCCACTTTTAATTTCTTGTGCTATCTCCATACTCCTTTCCACGGTGACTGCACCAATCTGCCTTACCACCAACAGTGCAAAAGGGTTCTCCTTGCTCCACATTGTTGCCAGCACTTATTGTTTGTTGATTTATTGATGATGGTCATTCTGACAGGTGTGAGATATCCTTATTTTGGCTTTAATTTGCATTTCTCTGATGATGAGTGATGTTGAGCATCGTTTCATATGTCTGCCTATTGGCCATCTATATGTCCTCTTTGAAGAAGTGTCTATTCAGGTCCTTTGTCCATTGTTTAATTGGTGGTTTTTTTGGTGTTGAGTTTTGTAAGTTGTTTATTAATTTTGGATATTAACCCCTTGTCAGATGTATTGGCAAATATGCTCTTCTGTTCTGTGGGTCCTTTTATTTTGTTGACAATTTCCTTTGCTGTGCAAAAACGTTTTAGCTTGAGGTAGTCCCATTTATTTATTTTTTTCTTTTGTTTCCCTTGCCTGGGGATATAGTATATCTGATAAAATATTGCTACAAGCAATGTCCAAGATTTTGATGCATATGTTTTCTTCTAGAATTTTTATGTTTTATGGGTCTAATATTTAAGTCTTTGGTCCATTTTGAATTTATTCCTGTGTGTTGTATAAGAAGGTGGTCTCTTTTCATTTTTATGCATGTGTCTGTCCCATTTTCCCAACTCCACTTGTTGAATAAACTATCTTTAGCCCAATGTATGTGCTTGCTTTGTCTATTGAATATTAATTGACTACTAAGGTGTGGGTTTATTCCTAGGCTCTCTATTCTGTTCCATTGATTTATGTATCTGTTTTTATGCCATGCTGTTTTGATCATATAGAATTATTAATGCTGAATATTTAAAGTATTTAATTCCTTTAAGCTTTTAATCTTAAATTGTAAAAATCCTTAGTATATGCTTCTTAAGTTATCTTTTAAAATTATATTTTATTATTAAGCTATTACAGTTGTCTTGATTTTTTCCCCTTTGTCTCCTCCCACTCCTCCAGATGATCCCCCCACTATTGTTCAAGTCCTTGGGTCATGCATATAAGTTCTTTGGCTACTCCATTTCCTGTACTGTACTCTACAGTACATGGCTATTCTGTAACTATCTATTTGAACTTCTTACTCCCCTCACCTCTTCATGCATTCCCTCATGCCCCTTTCCCATCTAGCAACCATCAAAACACTCTCTGTATCTATGAATCTGTCTCTGTTTTTCTTAGTATAGTTTGTTTTTTAAATTCAATTGTTGATAGATTTGAATTTTTTGCCATTTTATTGTTCATAGTTTTGATGTTCTTTTTCGTAAATAAATCCTTTTAACATTTCATATAATAATGGTTTGGTGATGATGAATTCCTTTATTTTTTCTTATCTGGGAAGCTCTTTATCTGCCCTTCAATTCTAAATGACAGCTTTGCTGGATAGAGAAATCTTGGCTGTAGTCCCCCACTTTTCATGACTTTGAATATTTCTTGCCAATTCTTTTAGCCTGCAAAGTTTCTTCTCAGAAATCAGCTGACAGTCTTATGGAAACTCCTCTATAGGTAACTAGCTTATTTTTTCTTGCTGCTTTTAAGATTTTCTCTTTATCTTTAACCTTTGGCTTTTTAATTATAACATGTCTTAGAGTGGGCCTCTTTGCACCCATCTCGATTGGGACTCTCTATGCTTCCTGGACTTGTATGTCTATTTCCTTCATCAAGTTAAGAAAGTTTCCTTTCATTATTTTTTCAGATAGATTTCTATTTTTTTCTTCTTTTTCTTCTCCTTCTGACACTCCTATGATGCAAGTATTGGACCTCTTGAAATCATCCCATAGGCTGCTTATACTATCCTCATTTATTAGGGCTCTTTATTCTTCTTGTCCTGATTGTTGTTTTTTTTCTTCACTTCTTTATGTTCCATATCATTGATTTGAATCTTGGCTTCATCCACTCTACTGTTGTTTCCCTGTAAATCATTCTTTACTTCAATTAGTGTATCCTTTATTTCTGACTGGATCTTTTTATGTTGTTGAAGTTCTTACTGAGGTCTTTGAGCATCCTTATAACCAGTGTTTTGAACTCTGCATCTGATAGATTACTTTATCTCCTTTACCTCTTTTTCTGGAGTTTTGATCTGTTCTTTCATTTAGGCCATGTTTCTTTGTCTCCTCATTTTGGCAGCCTCCCTGTATTTGTTTCTATATATTAGATAGAGCTGCTTAGACTCCCCTTTGTGGTATCATGGCCTAATGTAGTAAGTGTCCTATAGGGTATAGTGGCACAAACTCCATTATCACCCAAACTGAATACTTGAGGTATACCCGTTGTGGGGCTGAGTAAATCCTTCTTTTGAGGGTGAGCCTTGGTTGCTGTTGGCAGATCAGTGGGAGGGATTTATCCAGGCCAGTCAGCTGAAAGGATTGGCTGTGACCACTTACCACCAACCTCCACCCTCCAAGGAGGATCAGCTGTGCAGCAGCAGAGTGGTAGTGCTCACTGTGGTCTGTAGCTGTCCACTGGGTGCACAGGCTTTGAGGTTTCCCAAGTGATACAAACCAAGATCAGCCCGCACCTGTGTTTTTCCTGGGGTCACCCTTCCTGAGCTATAAAGCAATGATATGGCAGCTACTTATGCTGATATTGGAAATTTCCAGGCAAAACCAAGCTGTGAATCTAAGCTGGCCATTGCCAATAGGTTCACTGAGGCCAACTGTTGTTTTTTTGATAGGATTTAAGAAATTGTGAAGCTGAATCAACACCAGCCATTCATATAGAAAAGCAGCTTTGGTGAGCCCGTAAGTTGGGTGGGGCAGAGTCTCTGGGGATCTCTAAGGCAGGTCAAACAGTGTTAGCCAGGTTGGTGGAGTTTTAGGTACAGCACCAGCTTGCTGGCTTTGTGGCTCTGTGGGGAGAGGGTTTAGAAAAGGGACAATATATTCTGTTCCTCCTGATGCCAGACACCTCAGTTTCTGCCTATATGCCACTGGTACCTTTCAAACTGCTACCCCACTGCTGGAATTCAGGGGGAGTGAGTTCTAGCAGTGGGTGTAGCTGAGTCCAAGCTCTAGTTCTTTAAGAGAAACTGCTTGGGACTCCAGAAGTTTCTTCCTCTGACTTAATCTGTGCTGTTTTTTCAGCCAGAAATTATGGGGACTCATCTTCATGGCACTGGAACCCTGGACTTGGTGGCCTGGTATGAAGTTGGGACACTTTGCTTTGGTGATATCACCCCCTAATTTTAATTCACCACATGTGGGTAAAGGACCAGCCCATTCTGAGTCTGTGCCCCTCCTACCAGTCTGGATGGATGTGGTTTCTTTAATTTCATAGCTGTCAGACTTCCATTCAACTCTATTTCTGATGGTTCTGAGTGACAGTTGTTCTATATTTTAGTTTTAATTT